GAGAGAGAGAGAGGGGCTTCATTATTAAGAAAGAATGAACATGGCATAGAAAAAGAGGTAACAAAAATGAATTGTGCATGGATTAAGCTATGGAACTAACAAGAAAAGATATCATTGTCATGTTTGCTAAATGCTTTTGAGGGGAATGATTTACAGCTTGATTTTAGAGTAAATTGAAACACCATTCACAGTTAAGGTGAGACAAATCTCTTTAGTCTTGTCCATTAAAAGTGAAAATCCAACCCCCAAGCAAGAAGACAGAACAAGAACGTGTAATATTCAGCAATTATGACTGCAAAAGACGTAGGTTTTGGTCTCAGGCATGAAAATTTTGATTCCAAAAATGTAGAAACAGATGAAATCTGACTATGACATCCATTATGCCACATAGGTCATGATGACCCATGCATAAAAATATTTTGGAAAGCAAAAAATTAAGAAGGAAACATAAATCAACTCAAATTTTTTTAAAAAAAGAAAAAAGGATAAGAATGTAATGTCGTTAAATATCAACTAGTTTTCAAAAGAGGAAAATGTACAATTCTTTTAAATGAGTAATGCTTGAAACCTATTAAGTGAACAATATACAATAACATGAGTATTATAAAAGAAAAATAATAGGAAAACAAAGTCTAACTTACACCTAGGAGTGGTGAGCTTGAAGGTCCTGAAACAGATATCATAGAGAGCTTCATTGTCGAGGACCATGCACTCATCTGCATTCTCCACAAGCTGGTACACAGAGAGAGTGGCATTGTATGGCTCGATAACAGGGTCTGAGTAAGCCTTAACTAGCAGAGTTGTCAGTAGTTCATCATATATCATGTGGTTATTATTGGAGCATTCCAGGACATGTCCATTATAGTATGCTTCCTATGGTCTTGGACTGACTACATGTGTTGATGCTGACAGGGTCGTTTTCCCTGACAAGAGGCACAGTTGGATCTTGCATGTTGTTGGTTCCTATGTCATTTATTGGAGAATCAATCCCAAGTTTTGGTCCATATCCTCTTCCTGTAATAAGATTTGATTGAATCATTCACTCGGCGAGCTTGCGGACATAATATGGACTCCACTATATGGAGATGAACTTTTTTATGTCTAAATTGTGATTAACTCAGTAACCCATTGCTAAATTAAGCATATTCAGTTTACCACTTTCAATTACTTTGATTCCATTTCACAATTGACACACTTTGCCAACCTCACAAAAGTGCTGACCTCCTAAAAGTGGCCGAAATTCATACTGAAGGGATGAACTTTGTGAGGCAAGTTGTATTTCTTTGTTTGAATGGTTATCTCTGCAAGATAAGTTTCTACTTAGCAAACTACTGCTATCTTTCAAGATTATTTTCCAGTGCCATGTGAAGAGTATTTTTACAGTTCAATTGGCATGTAGTTTGCATGGACGCAAGATGAACCATCATTGTACCATTACGTGTGAATGTTATATATTCTTTGCTTGTAATGTCCTTTAGCCTCAAATGTGGCTGAAATTTTAATCGGGACTCGTTCCCTTAAATTGTAGTGAGCATCAAAGACTTGTCCATCAGAAGTTCAATTTCCTAGTTTAACATGAGTTCTTCCCATGGCTCTTACATTTGCAATGTTTTCAAGACCGAAAACCAAATAGGCTCAATTGTTCTTTATATCAATCCCAGTGAAGACCCTAACAATCCTATTTGATATCTGAAAAACAGGGAAAACTTCATATGAATACTGAAAAATCCATCTTTTATTGCTCTGATAATCTAACATTCGCAGTTTGCATGCAAAAAAAGAACACCAGAAAATCAATGGGGAGATAAGCTACCAATGAAAATAAGTTAAGAACATTAGACCTGAATTGAATCTACAGTAGAAAAGATGAATCAGAAAGTCAAAAACAGAGAAAAAATGAATATGCAGCAGAGAGACAGAGAAGGAAAACAGACAGCTCATTTGGTACATGGTTCAAGTGATTAAGCTTAGAGAGAGAAACAGAAAGAGAGGATCTTGAAGCAGAGGGTGTGAGGGACGTCATTAAGGGCCTCTTCATGGTCGGCCTCACAAAAACATTTGAGGAAAGAGAAGGAGTTGTCAAGTGAGACCACGTTGTGACAGTGGCCATCAACCAGATCCACCTCTTCCACCACCTCCCATATCTCTCCAAACTTTTTCTTGCTCTCCACTCTCTGTCTCTCTCTCTCTCTGTTCGCTGCATTTCCCTGTTTTACAAAATCACCAAATCTTAACCCCGTTCCTAACCCAAAAAATCAAGTCCAAAAGATCTAAAAAACGCATAGAAGAATACCCTTGCACAAATCAACACATAAAACCAATGGTTTAAAAACCGGATCGGTCACCCGGATCGGGCTTTTCAAAAATCGATCCGGATCGGCGAATC